AACAAAAGGTCAAAGAAAAGTATTTACTTCCATGTTCAACAACTTACTTTACCAAAATACATGTTCCTTTGTCCAGATCACATTTTGAGATATCAATGGAAAGATGAAGTCTTCCTAATCCTGAAAGCCAAATTTAAGGTTTTACATAGCAAATCACCAAAACAACAGCTCCCAACCTTTACTGTTAGGGTAGTGATTATATCCAAAGTAACCTCTGTATTAGATTCACTTATGGACTTAAGTAAGACAGAAGACATATGCTGGTGAAGAAGGTAAATACTGGAGCTGATAATGTAAGGATAAGAACATATCCTTATGCCATGGACATACAATGGCGAAATGACAGCCTCTTCAACAGCTGGTGCTGGCAAAACTGGACAGCTACATGCAAGAGAATGAAACTGGATTATTGTTTAACCCCATACACAAAAATAAACTCAAAGTGGATTAAAGACTTAAATGTAAGTCATGAAACCATAAAACCCTTAGAAGGCAACATAGGCAAACATCTCCTGAATATAAGCATGAGCAACTTCTTCCTGAACCCATCTCCTCGAGAAAGGGAAACAAAAGCAAAAATGAACTCATGGGACTACATCAAACTAAAAAGTTTTTGTATGGCAAAGGACATCATCAACAAAACAAAAAGGCATCCTACAGTATGGGAGAATATATTTGAAAATAACATATCTGACAAGGGGTTAACATCCAAAATATATAAAGAACTTACACACCTCAACACCCAAAAAGCAAATAACCCAATTAACAAATGGGCAGAGGATATGAAGAAACGATTCTCCAAGGAAGAAATTCAGATGGCCAACAGACACATGAAAAGATGCTCCACATCACTAATCATCAGGGAAATGCAAATTAAAACCACAATGAGATATCACCTCACACCAGTAAGGATGGCCAGCATTGAAAAGACTAAGAACAACAAATGTTGGCAAGGATGTGGAGAAAGGGGAACCCTCCTACACTGCTGGTGGGAATGTAAGCTAGTTCAACCATTGTGGAAAGCAATATGGAGGTTCCTCAAAAAACTAAAAATAGAAATACCATTTGACCCCAGAATCCCACTTCTTGGAATATACCCAAAGAATATAATTTCTCAGATTCAAAAAAACATATGCACCCCTATGTTCATCACAGCACTGTTTACAATAGCCATGATATGGAAGCAACCTAAGTGGCCATCAGTAGATGAATCGATAAAGAAGATGTGGTACATATATACAATGGAATACTATTCAGCCATAAGAAAGAAACAAATTCTACCATTTGCAAAAACATGGATGGAGCTGGAGGACATTATGTTCAGTGAAATAAGCCAGGAAGAGAAAGACAAATGCCAAATGATTTCCCTCATTCATGGAGTATAACAATGAAGCAGAACTGAAGAAACAAAATGGTGGCAGACTCAGAGACTCCAAGAATGAACTAGTGGTTACCAAAGGGGAGGGGTGTGGGAGGGCGGATGGGGAGGGAAGGAGAAGGGGACTGAGGGGTATTATGTTTAGTACACATGGTGTGGGGGATCACGGGGAGAACAGTGTATCACAGAGAAGGGGCATAGTAGATCTTGGGCAACTTGCTGCACTGATGGACAGTGACTGCATTGGGGTATGGGTGGGGACTTGATAATGTGGGTGAATGTAGTAACCATGTTGTTTTTTCGTGTGAAACCATCATAGAAGTATATATCAATCATACCTTAATAAAAAATTTTTTAAAAAAGAACATATCCTTATGATAATGTAAGGGTAAGAAATAACATAAAGACAAAGTCACTTTTAAGCTATGCAAGGACAGACCTATGGCAAGGAAGAGGATCCTCTAAGGGATGGTAGGAACATGGCCCATGAAGATTCTATCACTCTACCAAGAACTCAAGCCAATATCTAAGACTATGAAGTCATGAATAGAACACATGGATCACAAGACACTTTCTAGTGCTAATTCAAGTATAGCTGTTATTATTATTGTATTATGCACATGCTGAGTAAATATCCCCCTGAATGTTTGCTTTAACACACCACCTCAGTCTTTGTTCTAACGTCTTCATTTGTGTATGTAAACTAGAGAGCAGAGATGGCATGCTACGGCCCATGGGCTGACTCCAGGCTCCTACCTCTTTTTGTAAATGAAGTTTTACTGGAACACAGCCCTGCTCATTTGTTTCCATATGGTCTACGGCTGCTTTCATGCCACAAAGGGGGAGATGAATTAAAATTAGGGTAAAGTCATAATTAGGAAACGTGAGTTGTATCTTTTTCCATATTTGAGAACAGCTCAATTTTAAAAGTTATTCCTGAAAAGAGGGGAATTAATGGGGGAATCATATAGGATACATGAATAACTACAATGAGGCATATAAAACATAGCTCTGTATATATAGCTGAATTTGTGAACATGCTTTCTTGGTGAGCTTAATTTGAGTGGGAAGAAATTCAGAGGCAAACTGACTACAGTGAGTTGCCATACTTTCCAGGATCAGCTGTAAATCCAAGTCCCACAGAAAAGAAAATGGATTTGGGGCAAGGATTTATAGACATAGTACATTTAGTCTATGACAGGAGTTGGGAAACTCTGTGAAGGGCCAGATGGTAACGTTTCATGCTCTGCGGACCATACAGTCCCTTCACAACTACTCAGCTCTGCTGTAGCATGAAAGGCAGCCATGGATAACAGTGAATGAGCAGGACTGTGTTCCAATAAAACTTCATTTCTAAAAACTGGCAGCTGGTATGTGGGCCATAGCTTGCCAACTCTTGGTCTATGCTAACTACCTAGATATTATTAGCTTCCCGGCAATAAAATTTATTGAAGTATTAACTGACAGTACTCTTGTTTCCACTTGATATGAACCAAAAGTAATTTTATCAATATTGTTTGCTAACAGAACCCAAGTATATATAGAATTACAGCCAGGACATGATGACCTGCACGGCAGGCTGCTCTAGTCCCTGACGCACCTGCACTGGAGTTAACACTCTACAAGCGATGGGATTTTTAGTTGTGACTTTGACTCGTGATTCCTTTTGGTTTGGTGCTGAAGTATAACCTCATAGAAACTCTCCAATATAAACATCATGCAAGAGGTTGGGGGTAATAATAAAAGGTGGGAAGACAAAGATAAATAAATGGTAAATGGCTGTGTTAGAGAAAAATAAATGCTCCTCTATCTAAAGTGGTCATCCCTAAAATTTAAGGGACCTACACATACCTCACAACATTTCTCTTGAACATCTGAATCTCCCTTTGACAATGAACTTTTCACATGAGCCCCTATGTACTAGAAGAAGACAGTGATGAGAGCCCAGGAGGCAGAAGGTCCCAGTAACTAAGAATGTCCTCACTATGTTCCAGTGCTTAGAGTATATTAAAGTTGTTTAGATCTTGGAGTGTGACACATACAGCTCCATCACTGGCTCCCTGTTTTATGTTGGTGACATCACCTCTCTGATTCTCAGTTTTATTACCTGTAAAGTAGGAACAAATCCTGCTTCCCAGAGTTACTGTTAAGTTAAAATGAGACAACAAATGTGTAAAAAACTTGTTTAGAACATAAAAGCACTTATAACTGATAAGTGCTATTATTATTATATGACTTTAGAAAGGAAATTTTCAAAAGTTGTGTGGGTGCTAGATGACTAGTGTAAAGAGAAAGGCAGAAGAAAACAACAGACCTGTTGTCACAAAAGGAAAGGAGGATGGATAACAGGGATATGGAAGAACTAGAGAAGGAACTGGAATTCAGACCGCAAAAGTCAGATTTATATAACCTATTTTGGCCAATATGGAGAGATAGGAGGACTTTTTTCTTTAATAGCATGCTAACATTCTTATCCCTATATGTGAGCAAGGTCATTTCGAAATCAGTTGTAGAGGAGGATGGAGAATAAAGGGATTCCCTTTGTATCAAGGACTATTCCAGGCTTCTCCTCAGGGTAAAGCCAACTTTTATATCATAAGGTTCCCTGTGCAGACTAATTACCTAATTCTGTCAGTAGGAATTATCCATATACTACTCCAGAGCCTGTATAAGGAACATTATTCTGTGAAGGCACCATCTCAAGACCATTCTCATGGGAAATGGTTTTCTTTATTACTTTCATGAAAAATGGCAGACACCAGAGAATGATCTGGCCTTCAGGCATTAACTCTGGATAGAGGTGCTACTAGCTTAAAGTAGGGCAGCCTCTGCATATTTCTCCCAAGACAGATGTTGCCTAGTTTAATTATGAACCTTTTCAGTATTCCCTGAAGCCTGTTAGGGGGCTGATCCTGAGAAGCCAAAAATGAATGTTAGTCCAATTGGTTTAAGAGGAGACCAAGCTAGAAGACCCTGCTGCCTCTTAAATTACTGAGCCAAAGTGCTATATACAGGCTGCTCTCGCAACAATGAGCCTCTGACATAAATTGACTTTTGACAACATGTATGCAGCTACTAAGTTTAATAAAGACAAACTTTCAACAAGTTTGGTTTGAAAGAACAGACTCTCCCTTGAAGGGGAGTACGACTAGTATCATGTTTACATTACTTGTGACAGCAGTTTATGCCACCTAGTTTACCTGGGAACCATTTCAGTTCTTCTGATCTTCCAAGGAGTGATCACAGACTTGGTAAGCATATTATCTACCCCAACTGTTTTAAGAAAAATGTATTAAATAATAAACTGTAGGCTTTAAAAGTATTGGTCCCTGGGAGGTAGTACAGCATGGAGAAATATAGGCAATGATTCTATAACATCTTTCTGTTGATAGATAGTAACCGTACTAGAGGGGGTGAGAATTTAACAATGTGGGTAACTGTTGAACCACTGTGTTATACATTTGAAACCAATATAAGATTGCATATCAAAGATACCTGAATTTTAAAAAAACCTAAACATATTCTTACCATACAATCTAAAAAAGGATTGGTCCCTAGAATAATTTCTAAGAACCTCACTGACAGGAGTCAGGGAAAAGTCAGCCTTTCTTTCCCTACTTACCTTAATCACGTGTTAATCACTGAGAGGACTCCCTCTTCTGCCTGTTCACACATGTGGAAGATCTGGTAGACTTCTGTAAAATGCTTTTAAAAGATACCCTTTACAATTCAGCCTCATAAGAGGTTATAGAAAGGAAAAAGACTACTTTCATCATCCATGACCTTCTCATATTCAGCTTGGTCAGCACTGAGAGACAGTGGCAGGTATTAAAAGGAAGAATGGGAGGTGCGGGAAAAAAACACAAGCTGTTGCTTAGCATAACCCAGCTATTTTTAATGTAATTTTCACATCATAATGGAAAAACTTGCGATATAACACTTAAAATACATTCCACACTTCCCAGTATTTATTTCTTTGTCTATTCTCACAAGAATGAAAGTTCCATGAAGGCAGCACTTTGTTAATATCTAGAACAATCTCTAGCACTTAGTAAGCTCTTAATAACGGTCAGAAGTCTGCTGAAGGAAGGGGTGAAGTACTACATCACAACCATCTCCTCTCTACCACCAAATGGGAAACCCCACCCAAACTACCAATAACTTATCAAGGCCTCCCAACTGCCTTGCAAGAACATCTATGGCAGCAGTGATTTACTCTGGCTTATTGATGAACCTACTGGGCAGGAAGACTCAGTAGGTCAGGTAAGTGTTGGTCTTGACCAATGACAGGGCTTCTGGCTGCCCAGGAAATCTACATTTTTTAACAAGGCTCCCAGATGATTTTATGCATAATCAAGTTTTATACTAGAGAAATTTCTTTCACCAGTGAAGCACAAATCAGAGGCTATTATAAAAATCTTGCGGTGTGGAATAAGAACGTTTATCTCACATGACCTCCTCAGACTTACAGGGAATCAAGAGGAAGCTGTGGGTAAAAGACACAGTACTGACTTGGATTCAAATCCATTTTCTGCATCAACTAGCTATATATAGTACTGGGCAAGATATCTAATTTTCCCATCTGCAAAATATGGGAGAATGGGAAAAGGAGAGGTTAAGTTCTTTACTCTCTGCTGCAGTCTGAATATTTCAAGATCTTTTTTCATTATCATAATGGGAAAACATTAAGAAATTGCCTAGTGCTTATTTAAGACTACCTTCCTTGCCCCTTCCCACTAACTGGGCAAGCCCATCAAAGCCACCGACTACCTACCAAGACTTCACAATGGTTTGATAACCACCTGCAAGACGCTGATTTGATCCTTTTTCAATTCTTTAGTAACCTTGCTAGGCCAGGCAGGGCTCACCTCTTCACCAGTGGCACGGTTTCTGATCACATTTGGTGTCACCTGCAGGAAAGAAGGAAGAAGAAACAAGTGTTCAGACAGAACAGTCAAGGTTTTGAGATCTAGCTTTAATTTTACTTTTACCACTTTAATCAACTTACTCAGCCCACACCAGAGACCTCAGATCTTACTCTTGCTAAGCATTATTATTAGCATCACAATTACGTTCTTTATATGGCAAAAGCTACGGCAATGCCTACCATTATTAACTAATAAGAATTCTTGCCTCCATTTTAAACAAGGAAACTTGGGTACAGTGGCACCAAGTAACTATACCAAATGAAGTATTAGAACTCAGATATGCACTCTGATGCTGATCTTCCTAGCTGCCTCAAAGTTCTTCTTCCCTTTAGACCTAAATATCCCTATCTTTGGATGGCGATAACTTTGATCTCCCAAGGGCCCTTCTATGTTTGGTGGTTAAGACCCTCCATTCTGTATTCCTGAGGTAAGAGCCCCCTAAAAGTGAATGAAACCTCCATTCAGTCATCAGGTGGCATTTGGTTCACACTGAGGAGGAAAGGTAACAAAACTCTGAAGTCTAGATCAAGGCTTGTCATTTATAATTTCAGTTCCCACCAGGATTCACCTCACCTGTGTGTAAAAAGGAACTGAACATATCTGTTACCTTATCAGCTGCCTGGGTTATCCAAAGGATCACAAGGAACAAGGTAGGCCCATGGCCAGTCCCCTACCTTCAAGACATCCACTAGTAGGAATGAGGCTCTTAGACCTAGACCCACACAGGACAAGCCAAAGTCCCCCAAGGGCCTTTTCTTTCTAAGGGAGCAGCCTATTGCCTCTAAGTTTCCCTGTCCCTAGATGCTTAGCATGAAAAGTTACCCAGAAACCTGTAATTCAGCGATGGCCTGAAGCCCAGGTTATTAGTTATTATCATCAGATGCTGACAGCATTTGGTTTCCTGTTACACGGTGAGAAGCAGGCAACCCTCAAACCCCAGGAACAGCCAAGAACCAATTTCTTTGGGGCTCATTTTTAACTATTGCACCTGCCACTGGCAAAAAAGTATGTCTTATAATCTACTAGTGATCATGAGACCCAGGCAGAAAGGTCATGCTGCCAAGTGTGTGTAATGTGTGTGTTGGGGGAACAGGAGCCCTGATGAGTTTGAGCCATCTCTTTACTGGATAAAGTAAAGCAGCCATTACTAGAGCAAGAGCTGCACACCCACAAGCAGCTGGGGCCACTAGCAATTATTTAGCTTCCTAAAGCCTAGAGAGACAGGGGTAGGAAAGAAATGTAAACAAGGCCTAATTCAGAAATAAATAGTTAAGTGTAAACCCTGATGCGTGAAGTCCCTGCACCAAGGAGCCAAGAATAGAGTAGTTGGTAGGTAGGGCCTTTCTCTGAAGACAGACATCTTACTTTCACCACTCCTTTTTCCCACCCAACCCAGTTCTTTTTCAAACTAAACTGCTCCAGTTTCCAGCCCCCTCACCACCCCATGTATTCCACTTCTGTTAAGGTCAACAAATTTCAAAATGGAAAGTTTCAATGTATGTCTAACTTTTAACATCATAAATGCACACTATGAAAAAAAATTCCAGAAACAAATTAAGGATAGAAAGTAAAAATCTCAGAATCCCAGAAAGTTTTAACACTTGGGGTATGTTCTTCCAACTACTTTCAGGTACATGTACAAACATGAACTTTTATTTTACAAAAATTAGAAAACCAAACTACTGCTCTGTAGCCCTTTTTTCCCATTAATATACTGGGCACATCTTTCCAAGTCAAATATTCACTTACAAGTCTATTTTTATTTTTAATGCCTCTGCTTTATTATTACATGATTATACCAAGATTAATCCAAATTCCTGTTTGTGGAACGGTAAGTTTTTCCATTTTTACTGCCATGAACATTGTGAACATTCCCATTCCTAAATCTTCTAGAATATCCTTGGAATATTCCTTCAGTTTACTTAGAATATTTAGAGTTTATTTAGAGTATTTCAGGATATATCCCTAGAAATGAAATTGCTGTGTCAAAAGGACATGCAATATTTATTTTGCCCACTAGTATATATTGCCAAAGTGTCCCTACAAAGAATTACACACTAAAATGGGACATAACCCACCAAGACTAATATAACATTTTAAAACCATGGCCCATGTGATAGGTGTTAAATGTAATAATGCATTTTTAATGAATACATTTATTACTAAGAGAATTACTAAGGTGAATAAGATATGGCTTCTGCCCTTGAGCTTAAATGAAGGGAGAGAGACACAAACAGGTAGTGGCATGGGCCATGCTGCTCATGCTGTTTGACAAGGTCCAGGCCCGAGGTGGAATCCTGAAAGCCAGGAAACCTCATAGCTGGCCCCTGCTAAGTCCTGCACTTATTTTTGCAGTTATGATGTTGGTGATTGGGCTCATATATGGGAAATCTTATGTGTCTAAGATTGATTCATCTTTAGTGAATAACTTAACCCAAAATTTTGATCAAAGCAGCAATTCCGGAAGCAAAAGCAGTGTTACGGGACCAACTGTTCTAGGCATACTGCCACAAATAAGTGAGGCAGAACAACCCAGGCCTCTCTTAAAACTAGATGCAGTTTGTCCTCCCTTTTGTAACAATTTAAACATGACTAACCAGGATTTCTTTACAATATTGGCAGAGAAGAAGTTATGGGAACCTGGGACATGGAAAAACCCATTCTCCCAAGAAACTTCTATGAAACAGCAAAGTAAAAGAGATTAATAGTCCCCACTGCCCAGGGTCCCCCTTCTGTTGCTTATAATATTAGAGGATGCCTCTGGTATCCCCCTCAAAAAAAGAATTTATGAGCAAAATAGGAAGATTAACATTTACAAATATCCCATATATAGAAGTTTATGATAAATCTATGACAAAATATTACTATATTAATGGTAAGGTAGTAAGAGCAGATTCAGTGTCATTATATAAAAGATTAAAGAGGACTGCAAGGTCCTGGTGCCTGTGGGCACAGGAGGAAAGGTGTAAACATCTGAAATTATGGAATGAATATTATGAAAGAATAAGGTGTTCCTATTGTATTCATAGGAATGATGAAAAATGTCAAAACTTACAGGTAATAGTACCATCCCTAGACTTTGGATATAAGCCTAAACCCACATGTGTAGGATATGATTTGATTAATAATATAACATTACACTCAATAACCAAAAGACATATAGCTTAAATTTTATATAACCTGTTTAAACTTTACATAGCCTTAGACACATATCTTAAACTCTATATAACCTTACATGCTTAAAAGTAACAATCACAGCCCACAAACTGTCTCACACCATTTTCTGTCTAGCACCTAGCACGTAGTTCAGACGAATCATTAATCAAAACAGACTAAGGGAAAGTTAAAAATTAAATGTTAAAAGGCTACTATTAGAGGAAATGATGATATTTACTTAAGGGTAATAAGATGATATTTACTTAAGGGTAATAAGCTGGAATTATGCAGAAACTGACAAAAAGATTGTATTATTCATGATTAAAGAAAAATGTTTAACATTATGTAAACCTTAAAAAGATATAAAAATAAAGACCCTGCTGCTTAATGTCAGGAGATGCTTCAACCTTGATTGGCTGTTTCGTCTCCTCATTCATCTCCTCACTCGCCGATGCTGTCCTTTCCTTCATGACCCACACCTCAGTTGGAGCTGGACGCCGGCAAGGTAGCATTTACCATTACCACATTCATGAGACAAATAAGATTGCAATGCAGTGTGACCTAATTAACTCTGTGGTTATTGATAATAGAAAAGGTCCAAAAAGTATTATTAGACAGTAGTCCAAATAAAAAATCTATTTGCTAAAATTCCAAGGAGTTGTGCTAATGCTGAGTATCACCCTCAGTGGCATTTCGATGTGACTTTCTTTCTTCATCAAGTCTTAAAGGAAAGAACCAAGTAGAAGCCCCTCAGGAAACCACTTGACCCATGCCCACAGAGTGAATGAAATGCAGGCAGTGTATTATTGGAAGCACTTATTGTAACTGAACCTGGACTTCCATCTTTCCTTTTCCAACTAGTTCTAGTAAACAACAGTGAGCTGGCAGCCATTTTCTTTCAGAAACAAAATGGCTTCTTTCCCTGGGACTCTCATACTCAGGTAGATCTGTTTATATATAGTTAGGCTGCAGTGGTATCCATGCCAACTTGGAAAATACAAATCAAAAGAAACTATTTTTCAGCACCATGATGAGGGAGATACAGATGAGATCAAAATGGATGACAAGTATTCTGAAAATCTATCCAACAAAGATGGATTAATATGCATCAAGCAAATAATAGCAAAATGTTAAACATCTAGGTGGTAGGTATGTGGGTTTCACTGCATAATTCTTTCAAGTTTTCTGTATGTATGTTTCAAACTTTTCATAATAAAATACTGAGAAGAATCCAGCAAACAGCTTGAAAAACAATACTGTAAGGTCTTTCCTTCCATTTTACTGCTAGAATGAGACTATCGGATATTCTCTCCAGTTTGTTTTTCTGATGTTTCCTGCATCAGACTTGGAGCTTTCCACCTTTTAATTAAGTGGAATGAATCACAGTGTTCTCAAAGGCAGGTGACCAAGACAATGTGTGGTTGGTTACAGAGGAGAGAGGGGAGGGCCCTGAGCTTTCTAAAGTCCAGGCTCTCTACCTGAGTAAGTCTGAATAAGTGAGTATTTCAGGAAGTCCATTTCTTAGTTTAAAAATCAGCATTCTGATCCTCTAACATTTGCCTGAGTGTACCTTTCTATCTTATCTCACATTAATTCCCTATTTCTCACATTCTCGTTGCAAAGTTGTGCAGGAAAGAGGGGAAAAAGGTATGAGGCACCAAGGCATGATAAGCACATGTGCTTCAAGTTAGGATATAACAAGAGGAATTTCTAGCATTGATGCCAGAAACTTGATATTGAAGTAAACAGTATAACTGACTGCAGGATCCTGGAGGAGGCCTTATAATCAATCTTCCAGTTTTAAGTGTGTCCTGGCTGGTCCACTG